CCACACCCTACCTCCAAAATTGGAGATTACATTTTATTAACAACATGAGACTTGAAGGAGACAAACATCTGAACTATATTACTGATATGGTTTGGATCTATGTCCCCACACAAATCTCATGCTGAATTGTAAACCCTAATAGGAGGTGAGGCCTGGTGGGAGGTTACTGGATTATGGCTGTGGATCCTTTATGAATGGTTTAGCACCATCACCTTGGTGTAGTACCTGTGACAGTGAGTGACTTCTTGAAAGATCTACTTGTTTAAAAGTATGTAGCACCTCCTCTCATTCTCTCTTGCTACTGCTTCCACTATGTGAGACACCTTACTCCTCCTTTGTTTTGTGCCATGATTTTAAGTTTCCTGAGGCCTCCCCAAAACCAGAAGCTTCTATACTCCTGTATAGCCTGAAGCACAATAAGCCTATTAAACCTATTTTCTTTATAAATTACCCAGTCTTGGGTATTTCTTTATAGCAATGTGAGAACAGACTAATATAATCACTTTGCTTCTAAATATACTTCTTAAAATTTCTACTTTCTCCACTACCTACCCTAAACCAAACCCACCACATAGAGACAGTAAAGCCATGGGCTTTTCCTGCCTGAGTTGGGAAGACACACGGTGCAAGGTCCACCTGCATCCCCAGGCAAAAAAAACCTACAAACTTGTTATTCTTTCCCAATACAGTAGCAGTTTTCTATTACTTAATAGTTCTCAAACTGTTGCTTTACTTTCGTTCATTTTCCAGTACCCTAATATGGTTCTTAACAATTCTTAAAATTGTCCAGTTTTGAACAGGTTTTCTACAGATTGCCCATTCTCTTCATGACACCATTTTTGGAAGTGGAGTCCTAGTGATTTAGAACACATGTGGATATAGATCTCTTATACCACCCCAAAAACTCACACATATTGACCTCCTAATATACTTTTATATCACATTACAATGTTTAATTAAGTGAATATTCAGTGTTTACATTATTATTATCATAATAATACCGTGGCGATGTTTCCTTCCTTTTTCAACCTTTTGTTTTTTACTGCAGTGAATAACTGCTTCAATCACCTTTAGCTAATCCTTTCCATATAATAAAATGTTTTATCTCAAGATTATCTGTCACATATTGATATGGTTTGGTTCTGTGTCCCCACCCAAATCTCATGTCAAGATGTAATTCCCACATGTTAAAGGTGGGGCCTGGTGGGAAATGACTGAATCATGTGGGTGATTTCTAATGGTTTAGCACCATCCCCTTAGCGTTGTCTTGTGATAGAATTCTCACAAGATCTGATGGTTTAAAAGTGTGTGGCAGTTCTCTGCTCTCTCTCTCTCTCTCATCCTCTTGCGAAGAAGATGCTTTCTTCTTCTTTGCCTTCTGCCATGGCTGTAAGTTTCCTGAGGCCTTCCCACCCATGTGGAACTCTAAGTCAATTAAATCTCTTTTCTTTACTAATTATCCAGTCTTAGGTAGTTCTTTACAGTAGTGTGAAAATGGACTAATACACATATGGTCAAACAAATCAACTAATTTATCAATTCTACTTTACAACTAAAAAAAAAAAAATTGGCCAGCTACGTTGGCTCATGCCTATAATCCCAGCACTTTGAGTCCAGGAGTTTAAGATCAGCCTGAGCAACACAGGAAGTTGCCACTTCTACAAAAAATTTAGTCAGACACAGTGGTATGCATCTGTGGTTCTAGCTACTTGGGAGGCTAAGGTGGGAGGATCACTTGAGCCCAGGAGGTTGACGCTGCTGTGAGTCATGATCATGCCACTGCACTCCAGCCTGGGCAACAGAGTGAGACTATGTCTCGAAAAATATATCTATTACAACCTTCTCTCCCATGGGCTTCAATACAGGCTGCTATTCTCTAGACCTGCTGTCCACTCCTAATCCTGCTCTCCTAAATTGTACAACTTGTTAGCCAATTCGATGTCATCTCTTTCTAGATTAAATTCCTATTTTCAGTGATCTATATTTTATGGTGAATTACTAAGAAAAATAAACTGTTAAGAACTGTGTTTTGAGATTTTGTTATTTGCAAAATGGCTTTTATTATTTTCATATTTGACTGATAGCTTGACTGTGTATAGAATTCTGGACTGAAAATCTTTTTCCTTTCAAATTATGAAGGCACTGCTTCACTGCCTTCTAGCTTTCAGCTCTGCTGTTAAGAAGTTCAATGCTATTCTAATTCCTAATCTGTCATGTATTAACTGCTTTATTTCTTCTGCAAACTTCATCTTTGGTGTTCTGAAAATATTCACTATAGTGGCCTTGAGTGGCCTCCTTGCTATTCCTCTATTAATTACAATGGGTACTTAGTGGGCCCTTTCAGTCAAGAAACTGAAGTCCTAGCTGTGAAAAATAGTCTTGTATTTGTGGTATTTTTGGTATTGGATAATTTCCTACATTCTGTTGTCTCTATTCTCTCTTTCTAGAATTTCTACAAGCTACATGTTAATTATCCTGAAAGGCTCAGTTCACTTATTCATTCAACAAATACTTACTGTGTACTCAATATGTGCCAGATGTTATATTAAGTGTTGAGATTACAGGGATAGACAAGACAGACAATGTCTCTACCTTCAGGAAACTTAATCGATCATATATATTTTTTGTACTTCTTCTTTAATCTCCTTTCTTTTCTCCCCTCCCCCCACTTTTTTTTTTTTTTTTTTTTTTTTTGAGATGGAGTCTTGCCCTGTTGCTCAGGCTGGAGTGCACTGGCACAATCTTGGCTCACTGCAAACTTATCTTCCCAGGTTCAAGCAATTCTCCTGCCTCAGCCTCTCTAATAGCTGGGATTACAGGCGTCCATCAGCATGGCTGGTTGATTTTTGGTATAGACGGAGTTTCACCACGTTGGCCAGGCTGGTCTTGAACTCCTGACCTCAGGTGATCTGCCCACCTCAGCCTCCCAAAGTGCTGGGAATACAGGTGTGAGTCATCGTGCCTGGCCTCTTCTTTAACTTTCAATCTGTCTTTGGGTTTTAATTTCTGGCCTAATTCTTTAATTTTATCTTTCAATTCTTTGATTTTTCTTTTTTGAAGTATCACATTTTAATATTCCATATTCTCTGAATTATGGAAGCAATGATGTTATTTCTCCAAGGGCATTTTATGTATTTTTTTAAAGGTTTTCTTCTGGTATACATAATGCGTTTCTTCTCAGTGCTTTTAATCTGCTTGCTAAATTATTTATTTGCCTTGGTTACTTTTTTGTTGGAGATTTCCTCAAATATTTGATAATTCTCAAGAATCCATTTCAATTTTAGTGTAAGGCAGTGAAATGCTGAGAGGAAGCTCTTGTACCTATACCCAATAATGTTTTTTTTAAGAGATGGGGTCTCCCTATATTCTCCAAGCTGAAGTACAGTGGCTATTCATAGGTGCAGTAATAGTGCACTACAGCCTCGACCTCCTGGGCTCAAGTGACCCTCCTGCCTCAGCCTCCCAAGTACCTGGGACTATAGGCATATACCACTGTGCCTAGAGTAAGCTCATTTTTGTTGAACAATAATATAAGCTCATTTTTGGTTGAATGACCCCAAAGAATCAGTGTCTGCAAGTCTTTTCTCTAGTTGGTACTCTTCCATTATTCAAAAAAAAAGGGGGGGGTGGTCTTCCAATCTCCCACCTTGAGAATTATATAAGCAAGTTGAAAATGAAGTGGGAAATCTAGAAGTCTAGAAGCTCCAAATGTACACTTTGAACCAATCATCCTGCTTCCAGCTCCTTGCCTCAGACTGCCTTCCCTGTTACTGGCTACCTCCAAATTCTAACCTGTTCTAGGGTTCTACAGTGAGTATTGACTCACTCCTCATCCAAATTATCTGCAGACACCAAAGCTGCAGCTTCCTTCATGCTGCCAAGTGTATTCCAAAAAGTCTGCTTACATCTCTTGTTTATGTCATTGTCAACTCTTCTCTATTTCTTCATATCCTTTGTAGATATATATCTTGTCATTCCTCAACTGACATTTCAACAGGACTTCAGGGAGAAAAGAATTTAAAAATCAATTCACCTTATTTAACCAGAAGCCTTAACATTTTCTAAGGTGTTGCTTCAGGGGCTTGTTTTCATTTTCCAAAAATGACATTGAGGATGGATCCTTTACTAACTCATTTTTCCTTTTTGGCTCACTGTGAACAAGTAACTACTTACAAGATTCTGATGATTAAACAAACAAACAAATACCATCATCTGCCTTCCCTTAAGTACAACTGCTTCATATAAATCACGTCTTCTAATTAATTGTATTAACAGCAATTATTCATCATCCACAAAGCTAACACAGCATGTTGTAGCTCCCTAGACACTTTAAACCGTATCTTTAAACAGCAATGCATTTTAATTATCAGGATTTTCATTATTATATTTTAAAGTAGTGTAACAGAGCTTACATAAAATATAATCAATGCTACTGGGAAATTAAAAAAAATCAGGGACAAAGTACAAAACTCAGAATGTGTTTTCTTCCATTTCAACAGGTCCCATCCCCAGCCCCAAAATACAGCCCCAAGCCAGATGGCAGCCAAGGAAAACAATTTCTCCATCTCTGGGCACCATCTCTTCTGACTGAGGAGTTGTATTAACAAAAAGGCTCTGCTCTGTAAGTTACCAGGAAGGTAACATTACAAAATAAAAAAGGAAGAAAGAAAGAAAAAAAAAGAAAAAAGCTCCAATTTTCTTTATAATAGACCCAAGTGCAAACTTTATACTATTATGTTATATCTACAAAGAGGCTATGAAACACTGAAAATGACTCAACTTCTTAAAACTTAAAACTCAATACTTTTGTACTTATGAAGGTCCAAATACAGAAACTTCTTGGTATATTAAATGATATGTTAATTGAGGTCTATTTTGAGAAGCACCAATTTTACAACATGTATTAATCATCGATCTTTCCTATATATTTACTATAAGATATCATTCTGGCTTTTAAATAAGAAGGCAATCATTTTGGCTTCTTGTTATGAAATTCTTACCTGATGACACAGTCTCTCCCAACACCACCTTGCAACGCTTACAAATTACTTTGGTATTTGCCTTTGGTTCCTGTAGAATAGAAAAATGTCATTTAAATGTCATTCAGCTTTTCTTAAAAGGAATATATAATTTTAACATAGTCCCCAGAGTATACGTTGAACTTTACATTTTATTCTGCCCTCTACTAAATACTGAAAATACATTTAGCTTGTATGCATAATTCACATGCACAGAGATAATTTTTTCAAGTCTTAAGAAACAATAAAGCACAGATTCGCTTTTCCAAAACCAGCCACTTCTTGATAATTCAAATATTGCCAAATAATTTGAATAAGTAGCACCTTAAATTTCTAAGCACTTCCAAATAGCCTTATAACTTAGAACAGGCGGAGAGTGGATGACAAGACAGGGTGGATAACTTGCCTCAACTCACGTGTATACAACACAGAAAAATCAGAACTTGAACTCACACTATTTGGACTCCTGGTCCAGCATAATTTTTATCAAAGTTACTTATAACCCTTAACTACCAATAAATGAAAAGTTAAAAATATCTAGTCTGTTCATATAGTTTCATTTTTTCCACTTAGGAAAGGCACTGTAACTGGAAAGACAGGTAGTGCTCTGGAACAATTCCTGAAACAATCCTGACCTTCAAAAACCCAAATTCACTATTTGAGATACAGATTAAAATAGCATTTGCCTAATCAATAAACAAAGAATACTCCTTTCACATCCATAATAGTACCTTTGTTAAAACCATACAACATTCCTCTCATCCAGATATACTGTAACAAGGCAGAAGCCATATAAAGTGGGCAGGGAAAAGGAACTTTTGCAACTCTGGACACGCCAGGCTACCCTTCCTGGAAAACCAGAGAATAGGTGTAGGCTGCAGTAAAGAAGGACAGTGACTTCTGATGTGGGATGATGTGTATTTAATCTAAGGAAAAAAATTTTTCCTGATTAATATACATTTGAGTATATTTTTTCCTTGGCATAATTTACTGAAAAGTTGCAGAAGAAGTACATTTAAATTGCGTTCCACGGATGTGCTGCTAGTAACTGAGACAGCTGATGTTTGAATTTGGGTCCCTTTGATGCTAAGGCTTCTAAACACTATGCTAAGTGTTTTCCAAACTACAGTTCATGCATCCCATTAGTGGGAACCAATTCAATGGATTACTGTGTTTTTAAAAAATGAAATACAATACAACAGAAAATATGGCGGTGCTTCAAACACTGAGTTCTGCTTCAAGAAACTTTTGATGTGTGTTTGTATATGTGTGTATGTATACGAGTGTGTGTGTGTTATCAGATCTTGATGTAAAAATATATATATTCAATTAGAGGTCAAAGTCAAGAGTAACAGCACAATTCATATTGGGGTCTTTCTCTAATGACCTATTCTTTCTCCCAGCATCAAACATAGACAACTACTAAAAAATCCATAGATGTCCACAGCTCTTCTATTTAGAAACTCCTGAGATGAATCCCTTCATACACTGAAGTAACCTTCAGTAATATAAACACTTATTCCATTTTTTCCTGTTCTAGCTGCAGTATTTGGACAGATTCTGCAGACTTTCTCTAAAAGTCTCTGCTGAGAAAACAAAAGCACACATGGAATTCGTAAGTCAGCTCAGACTTGGCTCAAACTTCTATCCAGGCACACTCACAAAGTGGGCCCCACAGTGTGCCATCTCTGGCCACTGTATCAACATCTTTATCAGGAACATCACAAATGATCGGTCTCGGAGCCTGACCCAGGTGGGAAACTGGATGGGGTTATTCCCATCAGAGGTAAGAGACAGAAACAGAAACCTAGGAAGGTGCCAGTTTGTTCAGGTCCAGGAAGAAGAGAGCTCAGAAAGTCAGTATGGTCTATAAAGAGTGGTATTCTGGCAGTTTCATGCTTTCTTACAGTAAAACATACCTGTACGGCTCCAAGTTGATATTAAAAATTTTTTTAAAGAGTACTATTTTGTACAAGTTAAATCTGATCACACGCATTAGATCTTACCAAAAATCAAAGGCTTTACTAAAAACTAATATTTGTATTGTAATAACAATGCTTGAAAAGAAAGAATCTATTTGAAGCAGAAATTTTTTTTTTCAAGTGCTCTGATACGTACTTCTTTTGTAATTGCTCTCACAGAATATCTCACCTTGTCTTTTAAGGGGGCAGGTAAAGTGTTTTTTGTTTGCTTGTTGTTAAAATAAGACTCTATCCTTATCAGACATGGATAATCAGGATTTAAGAATCATATTAACAACAAGCAAATTACTTCAATCATATGTGTGGACGTTGATTCAAACAAACCTATAATAAAAGATATTTTTAAGACAATTGATAAAATCTGTATATGGCCTGTTATTTTATCATCAAGGAATAACTGCTAATTTTATAAGGTGTGATAATGATAGGGTGGCTACATTTTTAAAATCCCTATTTGTAGATGTACATATTGAAAGACATAGGGGTAAAATGACATGACTGTTTTAAAACACTTCAGAAAAAAAGAGCAGATGAAGCATACTTGATGAATCCATACTGAAGTTCGTAATACTATTCTTTTTATACTTGTGAATACTTAGAGTTTGGTAACACACTTTTCTAAAAAAAAACAAAAAAAGACACACTTAAGGATTTAAAAAAACAAATTACCAAAATCAACTAATTATTACTAAGTACTCCAAGAAAAAACAAAAAGGTAAAGATGTTAATCATCCTTGCCAGCAGTAATATTAATATAATCAAAGATCAATTTTATTTGTTCTTTAAAAAAGAGTGAAGTCTTGAATAATAGTTTGAATCTTATAAAAGGATGAAATGCCATCTTTATCATCCCATTATTATAAGATGCAAAATTTTCATTATGTGGGTAGGCACAAAATAGCAAAAGAGAGATGATACATGAATACATGAATAGGGGAATCTCCAGCAGGTATCTCTTAAAAATAAGTAGATACTGCTGCAATGACAAAGGCACAAATAAAGCACTATAAGTTCTAAAAGGCTACGGAAGAAAAGAAATTATAATAGAGTTCGGCTTCATGTTTGTTTGTTTGTGCTGTTTTTAAAGCAGATCTTTTAAATTAAACATATTATAACACATACATTTTATTTAAAGATAATCTCTGCTTTGTGATGCATTTTTCTTCACCTCTCCATCAAGGAAATAATAAAGCAAGTTGTGCAATGAAGCAGTCTAACAGTGTGGGAACTCTACAGAGCAGAGACAGACATTGTTGTGGACTAATTAAGTCAATATATCTGAGACATGGCAGGGCTGCTTAGAGAGGTGGATTAGCCTCCTGTCCTCGCTTTATTTTCCCTTTGTGTTGTTTCAATTTCTAAGGACCCTTGATATTGTCTCACCAAAAAAATGTTTCCCAAGAGATACCATTAGGATGCTTTGTTACCATGTGACATTTCAAAACCTTGCTAGATGGCTAGACTGGGTGATAGGAGAAAAAGATTTTCAACAGCACAGAGCAGCCTTGTTCCCACAGGAGCCTTGAGAGCACTGTTTAAGCAGTCCCTCCAAATTTATGTTTCTATTTTGGTCACAGGCACACTCTTTGGACTGCTACAATATACAATTAAAGCAGAACTTTCATCTAGGCTAACTTGAAGAAAATCTTGTCAATAGCAGCTTGTCATGATAGTACAGAATTTCCCACAGTCTCCTTGATACTAAAAACTGTAATGTCTAAAAATATGAAGGGCCTTTCTTTAATGGAACAGACAGCTGTTTACTATGAAGAAAAATTCTTGTAAATGGCATCACATAACTGATAAAGATGTAAATGTGAAGAATATATTTCAGCACAGAGTGCTGAGTTTATTCAAAAGAAACATGGTTTCCCTCATTTAATCTTTCTCTACTTTTCTGCTCACAACTTCCAAATATTTTTTAAATGTATAGCTAAATCATGAAGATGAAATTTAAAACACATAAAATAATAAAGTATTAGTGCATATATTTAGATCAAAATACAAATTAATCATATTAAATATAACAAATTTATATTAAGTTACCATTTACCTTTTAAAATATAAAAGGTAAAGTACTATAGTTCATCAGAGTGAACCATATTTAGTAAAGGGATTTCTGTTTACAGTGTAAGATGAGGCACTTAAATAATTTTATCTGATAACTTAACTTCCACATTTAACAAATTTCCTTCATCTTCCTCAAAATAGTTCTATAAAACTAATTTACAACCTAAGAGCTGCCCAACTGCTACATATTTCCTGCAGTTGCTCAGTTCTTATTACAAAAATTAAATGAGTTCTAAATGAAATTTAAAATACAATATTTTTGTTCCCACCAATAATCAGATGTTAAAATGATTCTCTGGTAATGATTTTCTTTACTTCTTAAATAACATCTATATTGACTGCCCATCAGGGGAATGATTTCTCATAGGGCCACGCCAATGCCACTGATTTTCTTTTAAAATAAAGTAAAACACTTGTTCTTTGCAGTGAAAGAAAATTGCCTTCTTCCCAAAGCAACTTATACAGCAAGAGCCACCAGACCTCACATTGTTAAGCACCAACTTAGACCCTGGAACACGAGCATTATCTCCATTCCTGTACTCCTCCATTCCTCTTTTTACTTGATGACATCTGCATTTATGACTTCAGGAGAAGTCTAGTCTATGGGCAGAAATAGTAAAATACCTCAGCCTAATCAGAAAGTACATATCCCAGAGCAAGAGAACACTTTTAACTTAAATCAGACTATTTAGGATAAAATGCACACAAATTATGGAATATTATCCTAAGAACAAGAAAGTGGGACATTTTGGTTTGTAAAGTGTTAGTACTCCCAATTCAATGCCTGCAGAAGTCTTCCTCCCCTTATTCTTCCAGGTCGCTGTGGCTGTTTTGGTTTAAAGCCATATGTTCTTCCTGTTTTGATAAAGCAGAGATAGAGATGACAATTGAACATAATGAATTTTGGCCTTTACAGCGGTCTGTGTAACAAGCCCTGAATTAGAAAAGATTGAAGAAAACAGTATCTAAGACAACCTCTAAATTAGCATTTATTTTGAAATAATATTTTACCAATTTACAATGGTTGTCAGAAGAAACACAGCACATCTCCACGGGGGATAGTTCAGGTCTTGGCTGCCACAAACTGGTTCTTAAATTCACCAAGAAGAAAGAGTCTCCAATAAAACAGTCCTCCTCTTGCGGATGAAGTGGCTTATTAGCAAAGGGGTCGGGATGACAACACCATTCTCCAATTAGAGCTCCCCAATTCTCACTTGGCAGTGGGAGCACCCTGAGCAGCTTCCTAATGGAAAGAAGAAAAACTGTTTTACACAGAACACAATGGAACTAACATTCTCTTAATTAAATGAACATAAAAGATGAAAGAAATTCATTAACCACAAGTCTTGCAATGCTAATTTTTTCCCAATTATAAAAGTAATATATACTCACTAGAGGTAATTTTGAAAATGCAAAGAGGTACACAGAAAACAAAAATCGTCCTTTTCTCTCACCACCCAGAGATAAGTACTACTTTTTACATGACATTGTGTTTCTCTGCCATCCATTCAAAAGATATATTTGGAATGGTGACTATACATACTATATCTTGCTTTTGTTGTTTTATTTAGATGACTCCTAATTAGTCCACAACATTCTATTCCATAAGTACATCAAAACTTTTGAGATCATTCCCTCACCTGTTAGATATTTAGGTTTTGAGGTTTTCATTATCAATAACTCTGTGATGAATGCTCCTGTTAGAACATTTATGAACATATCTATTTCCTTGGAAAGAATCTTATATTAGTGAGAGATGATAAGCACAAATGATTGCATATTTTAAAACCCAACACCTATTAGATGAATTTCTTTCCAGAAAGGCTGTGCCAATCTCTAATTCCTCCACTCACCCTTTTCATAATTGGATATTATCATTTTTCCATTTATGCTCTAGTAATAGGTGAAATTATTTTCAGTGCTGCTTTAATTGGCAACTCTTAAATTACTGGTGACATTCATCTAGTTTTTCTACTTAGAGACCACTCTGTTTCTTCTGTGAATTGTGTTAGTGACTATTTTCCAGGGTATTATTATGTTTTCATTAATTTGTAAAAATGTGTTCTGTATTGAGTATAAGCCCTATCTCTATTTGTCTGTTACAAATTTTTTTGCTGTTCCTGTCTTTTATTTTGGTTACGTGTCTTAACTGTCAAATCACCTAACAACGTTCTTCTATAAATTCTTCTATTACTGTATTTTAACAAACGTTTTATTTTGGAATAATTTTAGATTTACAGAAAAGTTACAAAGGTAGTATATTAGTTCCCATATGCACTTCACCCAGCTGTCCCTAATGTTACTATTTTATGAGACCATGGTACATTTGTCAAAACTACACACTTTGAGTTTCACCTGTTTTTCCACTAATATTCCTTTCTTCTGTTCCAAGATCTAATTCATGATAACACTTTGCATTTAGTAATCATGTCTCCCTAGTCTCATCTGGTCTGTGATAGTTTATCAGTATTTCTTTATTTTTCAGAAACTTGAGACTTTTGAAAGCTCAGGTATTTTACAGAATATTCTTCAATCTCAGTTTGTCTAATATTGTCTCAAGATTAGACTGGTGGTATGGGTTTGGGGAAAGAATCTCACAGAAGTGACTTATCCCTTCTCATCACATCAGAGAATACATCATATCAACACAACTTAGTGATGATAATCTTGATAACTTGGTTAACGTAATATCTGCTAAGTTTCTCCTTCTAAAAAAATACAAATACTAGCAAATTAATGTACATTCAGATGTGATAAGTTAAAATATTTAAGATGTGAATGCTACTTTTTTTTAACAATTCCCCCATATTAACCATTTTCCTTTGATTTCCCAATCAACTGTGTCACATAAAAGAGCAATTACAGTTTGGAAGAGGGTACACAATTTACAACTGCAGAGGACAAAGCTAGGAACAAGAAAGGTTGATTTTAGTTTACCATAAGGTAGACGTTTTCCTTTGAAATTAGTATACACTGCACCGTTGGTATCATCAAGGTGCTGAACCTGGTAAGCATACTAAGAAGTGATTCTTCCAACATACATTTCCTACAAGTCTACTATGATGCAGGCATTCTCCTGGCACAAAATATGAATATATACAGTTGTCTCTCTTAAGATACTCATGTTGTAGTAAGAAATATAGACCTACAAAAAATAACAAAACCACATGCTATAAATGCTCATAACAGAGAAATGGTTCTAAATTCTTGGGGTGGTGGGTGCAGGGGGAGTAGTACAGATCGTCCCATTGAACAAGAAACGTATTAGCCCCTTTCCTCAAACATACATTCCTATAAGCACACAAAATTTGCATATTACTTTAGGGGATTCATGGATCCCCAAGACCAATCCATGAATTCAGGGCAATATATACAAAGTGCTAGGGAATTAGATTGTACATAGACTTCAGAGAAAAGGTAATATCTGAGCTGGCCTTTGAAGGATAGTTTCCAGGCAATGAAAGGAATTATGGGCATCATGGAAGAAACAATATGAAGGTAGATGCCATATCTGTTTACCTTGACACTGTACTTCTGTCTTACATTGCTCTTAACATATAGCATGAGCTCTTAAATATTTGTTGAAGAAATGAACTAGCGTATTTTGAGAACTGTAATGTGTGAAGCCCCTGGTTGGATCTGTGGCACACTGGAATGAACGGGTTAACAAACCTTTTCCCTTGCTGCTTGAGAATCTGACCTTTGGTTTAACCACCTAGCTCTGTTACCCTGGAAACCAGGTAAGATCTTAGGCATTGACTATATTGCTAGGCAACACTGCTTACAGTAAAAATGATCCTTGGTTGGTAAACTGCATCTGAATCAGGAAGAAATATGAATGAGCTGTAACTGTCTGATAGGAATGCTATGCTTTGGCCTTCCCTGAATGCAGTCTCTTCTTGGGAACCCTACAAACTATGTCAAGAATTGCTATAAGAGAGATCAGCTGCTTAATGCAGGAGGCTTCTTCTAAGCCAGAGCAGCTCCTGTACCTCCCTGATCTGGAGCTTATGCTTTGTACCTGGAACTATGTCGCGTGGGGATACAACAGTCCCCAGAAAGGTATGTGAGCTGTCACTTGTGTAAACATGCAGAGGCCCTGCTGAGAGGAATTCTTGAAGTTGCCCTGCTGGCAAGGAATGTGGCCTGTGGTAGCCTTGTGAGTCCTCGTGTTTAGTTAACTTAAAAAGACCCTTGGTGGGCACTACACACACCTTATTTTATTTAATGCTTGCAACAACTTTGTGAGACAAGAAATATCATTTCCCCGTTCAGAGGAGGAAAGTGAGGTTCAAAAATGTCAAATAATCTGCGTAAGTTCACAGAATCAGAGGTGATCAGTAATGGCAGGTTCTTAGCCCAGGTCTTCCTGACTCTAAAACCAAACTCTTTCCTTAGAATATATTCCCTCTCCTGGTAATGCAGAAGAGCAATAGAGGAGACTTGGGCAGGTAGGATGGTGGAAAACTGTGTGGGGTGTCCAGGCTATGCTAAGGGATAGGGATTTGGAACTTCAGGTGGATGGGAAGCATTACAGAATTTTAAGTAGAGAAGCAGCAGGTCAGATTTGAATTTTACTAAGAAGCAGCAGAAGAGGGCAAATAAATTGCCCATCTAGAGTGGGAGGGAGTTAGGCCTAAACAGGCTCCTGAACTTTCTCCATCATTAAGATCTTTTGTCTTCTGACATACTGCATGTAGTGCCAATAAACAAATCCTCAATATAGTGCGAAATATAACAATGTCAAAATCCCCTACATGATCAGGGAAATAAAATTACATCAATATTTACAGAGATCTGGGAGACAACTCACATTAACATAAAATGATATTATAAACTTAATGTGACCACATATCATGGGAACAAAAGCTATAATATATCCTATAACAATCTGTGTAAGATGCCAGGAACAACAAAGTGCCAAATCTGCAAGTCACTGCAAAGATAAAAGAGTTTTTAAAGCAGATTTTTGTATAAAACCTTTAAGGACAAAAGATTTTAATCACTGCTTTATTGAAAGCATATTTATCCAAAACCGTGAAAAATACACTTTGATATGATCTACTTCTCAAGAGAACTTTCAAAATAAAATAGATACCATTGTTTTCAAGGTTAGTTTTTAGGGAGAAATCTGGTGGAGCTCAAAGAAAGAGTGAAATGATTTCCTAAATTTTCTCTCAGCTTACGATTCTATGATGAGCAGCAACACAACTTCAAAATAAACTAAAATTTGCTATTCTGTTTAATGCACCATGAGCACAAACTTTTAGAAAGTAACTTAAAATATACATAAGATAATGTGTGCCCCCGAACTTTAAAGATAATAGAGGTAAAGAAAAATGAAGAATGTGAAAATAAAGAAACGTATGTAAGAAAATAAAATTGTGCCCCTTAACTTTAAAATTAACCATTAATCAGTGATAATAACAATAGTAAAATCAGCTTTTACAGATTGGATTATAACCAAGCAGACATTAAGAATAATAATAACATCAACTATCTAAAGCTCAAAAATATGGCTGCTGGAATTAGATAAATTCAGGTGACATTCTGACTGGCAAGCCACAAATCCTATAAAAATAGCTTAGTATGTTAATACTATTACGTACATAGTATGATTAGAGCCACAAAAGTATAATTTTATTCTAAAAGTTCCTACAATGTTACCAATAGTGCAGCTGGTGCCTGTACTCTTTTTTTAACCTCTTTGTTCTCTTTCATAAAGAAAAGTGACAGTATTCTTGGGAGTAGTTATTTTCAGATTACAATTGTAGCTCGTCTGCCAAGTCGATCAATCGAGTGGTTGGATATCCTGACATCTCAGGTTTCCAAAGATCCCAACTTACTTGTTTCCCTCTAGGGTCTCAATGCCCTCATGAGCTCTGGTTTCCCTCTAGGGTCTCTATGCCCTTATGAGCTCTGAGCTGACACCGCTTAGCACTACCCTGCCAGTGCAGGGAGAACAAGGCGGACCATCCAGAGACCTCAGGAGAGCCACTCTGTTTCAAATCATCTGAAAATCAAAAGGCTTGAGTTTGAAAATTTGTTTGGCCAACTGATTTCATTCATGTATGAGATGAATTTATTTCTAGAAGACATAAATTTCAAACACAAGGAAAATCTGGCTGTTTCTGAGAGTATTCACAACAAAGTAAATGTTACTACTGTTGCTGGCTATTAGCGCCTGTGAATCTGAACAAAAACGAAATCAAAAATTACATATATTCACACAAATTTTATAGA